AAACGTTAAAAAAATGCTCACGTGTAATATCTTTATTTGTAAATATCTCATACAACGTGGGAAACCTGCGGCTTAAAATCCTGTGCGGCTTATAAAAGCACAAAATTGATTTTCTTTCTGCGCTCTATAGTCCGGAATTTACGGTACATAGAAAGTTCAGCGTCTGCCAGCGCTTTAGGAGAATCCGGGACGTTGGGTCTACGCTGGCTAAATTGGCATGGTGTGACAGGGGCCCTAAGCAAACCATAGTAGTAGGAGCACCTTTAGCTGCTCATATCTTCAGACTGACCCTCAACCCTGCAGCCATCAGCCGCAGCCTGACTGATTTTTGATTATCTGCCTGCAGGAGGAAGATGATCTGGGCTGAGATCAGTTATTTCTCCAAGTGGTGGAGCGGCATTGACGAGCAGAAGAGGGAGCTGGTCAAACGGTAAACTTCATGGTGGCCCTTCGTCGCCGTTCCTTCCCTTCACTCTCCTTCTTCTTCACTGATCCTTACCTTCATCTCTTTCTCTTCATCGCTGATGGTAGCCTTCGTCATGATGCTGAGTCACTGTTTTCAGATTTAATCATTATCAGACCGGATGTAAAATTTCGTGGTGTGAATCTCTCCATGTCTTGTCTGTGATTGGTCAGCCTGGTGAAGGCGGGACAGCTGGAGCTGGTGACGGGCGGCTGGGTGATGGCGGATGAAGCTAACTCTCATTACTTTGCTCTACTGGATCAGCTGATAGAAGGCCACCAGTGGCTGCAGACTCACCTGGGTAATGTTCACATTTTTCAGGCAGAGTTTTGGCTCCGCCCTCCTGCAGCTAACTCTGTCGCTAATGTAGGGTGTTTTATCGACAGGCGTGAAGCCAAGCAGCGGCTGGGCCGTTGATCCCTTTGGCCACTCCCCGTCCATGACGTACCTCCTAAAGGGGGCGGGGCTTAGCAACATGGTGATTCAGAGGGTCCACTATTCTGTCAAGAAGCACTTTGCACGGCAACAGACGTTGGAATTCCTGTGGCGACAGAACTGGGGTGAGAGAGGGACGGAGACACCTAAAGTACCCTGAGGTGAGGAGAAAAACTCAAAAATGTTCTGACCCCGCCCCTTTCCTCTGTTCCAGACTCCTCCTCCCGCAGTGACATCACATGTCACATGATGCCATTCTACAGCTACGATGTTCCGCATACGTGCGGTCCGAACCCGTCGGTCTGCTGTCAGTTTGACTTTCATCGCCTGCCGGGGGGGCGTGTCTTCTGTCCATGGAAGATCCCGCCTCAGCCAATCACAGAGCAGAACATCAAGGAGAGGTGGGAAGTGGTTGGAGCAGGAAAAACTGAATCAGAACGAAGGAAATTTTACATAAAGAGGCCAAAAAAATCCTGTTTTCAAGGTCAATTTTATCAGTAATGTAGATGTACTGTTTTTTTGTTTTTTTTTTATTATAAAAAGTACAAAATATTGATAAAAACATGAAATTAAACACAGAAAAATCACTCATAAACTTAAGAATTTAAATATATACAGAAAACCAAGGAACAGTATTACTTAAAGACATAATGAACAGAATTTCCAAAAAAATACAAATATGGATTTTTAAGAATTGTAATAAAGGAACAAATCAAATCAAAGAGGTCAGTCAAAAACAAAGACTTCCAAAATAAACTTCCAACCACATTAGTAGATGTACTTGTTAGGGTTGTTAAGTTTCCCCAACTTTAACCTATAAAAAATGAAACAAAGACAGCGTAAGATTTATCCTGGGGAGACAGAGTTGAAGAATCAATCTCTGCATCTTCATTTGGCTCAACACTTGCCAGGCTTTTTATTGAGCAGTCAACACATTACAACAGCAGGCATTAGTTTTGATTACGCAATTTTTAGACATAGCATGAACTTTTAAGATAGGGAACTTGCCTGGTTTCAGTATACGCTTTACAAAAGGGTGTCGGGGTTATGACCTTTCACTTCTCTGCTTCTCAAATGAAAAACAGGAAAGCATTCTTGCAAAACATTTGACCGTCTTTATGACCTTCATACACTATTTCCAATGATGAGAGTAACATATAGAACATATAAAAGATATAAATGAATAAAATGATAAAAACAACAGAAATCATAATGACTCCAACAGTACTTTTGTTCAACTAATTTAAAAAGCCTTTCGTGCTTTACTTTGAGAGTTAAAATTACTATGACTGCTGATCCAGTAGATATTTTCATAACTCTTAAAAGAGGAGTACTCTTATTTTGAAGAGTATCTGCTTCCCATCAGCTTTCTCTTATTATTTAGGTTCCATGTATTCCGGCTTGCTGTATTTGTACCATAAAGTATTCAGGGACACGTGTTCAATATAGCATAAAAAGCCTTAGAAAGTATAGAGGCTGGACGAAGCGTTAGAATTCAGATTGAATTGCATATATTTTCCATACAGCATGTATGCAGTGACAGTGGAGGGAAAAACACCTTTTCATTAACAAGAAAATTTAATCCAGCGGAACCAGAACCAAGCTCAGTGGAAACGGCATTCTGCCAAGATGACCTACTGGGGTTATGAGAGCAGAAACCTAACAGCACTGATCCAGAAGTACCTCCAGAAGCAGCTCCTTTAGTGGCTTCATCTAGGAGAGAAACATGGCTAAACAGGTGATTTGTGAGGCAGTATTCACGTCTAGAAGATAAAAAGAGAACATCCAGTTAATCACAGTAAAAGCTCAACTACTAGTAATGTCTAGGAGAGACGCTGGTTAACCACCGAAAGACAGGGCCAAGTGGATCGTCTCTAGAAAGAGGAGATGGGGTCACCTAAAGCCGCCCAGATGAAGCCTCCTTCCAGTATGGAGTCAAAACTAAACAGAACCAGGCAAAATGGAGCTAATATGAAGAAAAAAATTAGAGTGAACTTGAATTTATTTAATTTAATTTATTAAGTCGAACTAACTAACTAATCAGTGCAAAATTGGTGAATAGAATTGCAACGTAGCAGAGAGGAAACGGGGTCCCTTGGTCCTCCGGCAGCGTAAGCCTATAGCAGCATAAGTATAGTTCCCTTTTTTCTGTTGACAGTTATTGAATGTTCCACAGTATCATGTCGTATTAGTTAGATGAAGCATAGAGTAATGATCAATCTTTCTTCTTTTCAGAGCGCTCCTCTTGTTGGATCAGTATCGTCAAAAGTCTCGACTCTTTCGCTCTTCGGTTCTCCTGGTTCCTCTCGGCGATGACTTCCGCTACGTAGAGTCCAAAGAATGGGACGCTCAGTTCAGCAACTACCAGAAGCTGTTTGACTACTTTGACCAGCACCCTGAGCTGCACATCAAGGTTAGAGGGTGGGACGCCAGGTGGGGGCGGAGCTTGGAGAAACAGCATGTCACAAGCCTTTTGCCCGTTCTGATGTTTCTGCTTTTTTCTTCTTCTGTTGTGCGTCCGTGGTCTGGTTTTTAGGCTCGTTTTGGGACTCTGTCCGATTACTTTGCTGCTCTGCATCGGCGGCTGAGCACAACAGGAAAGAATCTGCCGACGCTCCGTGGAGATTTCTTCACCTACGCCGACCGTGACGACCATTACTGGAGCGGGTACTTCACATCCCGGCCGTTTTACAAGCGGCTGGACAGAACCCTGGAGTCCACGCTGAGGTGGGCGTTATCGTAGCAGGGATAAAGCAGGTACACGGAGCCCTCAGGTGATTTAAACTCACCTTTCTTCCCCTCATCAGAGCCACCGAAATCCTTTACACGCTTACGTTGGCTGAAATGCGTCGTTACCGCGGTGACGGTCATTTGGTGGAAGGTTTTCCTGAGCGTGAACATTATCAGCGTCTGACTGAGGCGAGGCGGAACCTCGGGCTCTTCCAGCACCATGATGCCGTCACAGGAACCGCCCGTGACCCTGTGGTGATCGACTACGGAACCAGGTGAATATTTCCTGTTTCATTCAGTGAGACGTGGATTATTGTTTTAATTAATCACAATTTTAATAACTTTTTTACATTATATAAACCCATAATTTACGTCCCGCTTCTGAGACTCCTTCAAATGTGAGCTCAATATTTCCCATGATCCATAGCAGGTCAAAGCGAGTTAGACAAGTTGGGTAGCAAAATGAATTAGAAAAATAATTTACACTTTCTGTGACCCAAAATATAAACTTGAAGGGAAAAGTGTATCGATCAGATTCATAAATCTGTGTTGTTTGTCCATGTTTTACTGAAATTAGGAAGTACAGTTTTATTTTTTAGTGCCAGCTCTCCTCAGCAGCTGTCAGCTGATTTTCCTCCCTCATCTTCCCGGGAAAGGCGACTGGTTTTTGGACGTCTTGTTAAATCTCTCACTGGTTTACTACTGGGTGGAACGTATACACATTATTCTGTCAGATAATATCAAAATATTAATGTTTGGCGTTCTTAAATGTTTAATTACGCAGTAAAAGTTAGGCTTTAAAACAGGATAATTGTATTTCCATCGAATGCCTTACTGTAGGTGATGTTAGGAAATTATTATTTTCTATATCAAGCTAAATTATATTTAAAACAGAGAAAAGTTCCATTGGCTTCACTCATCGTGACACCGTCATGGTTGCTGAGCTACTGAAGTCACTCATTTGAGGGCGATAGGAAGAAAATAATAAAAAGTTTACTTTTTTGATCTCACAATGGAGAAATTACCTCTCTGCATTTCACCCATCCCCCTGGGGAGCAGTGGGCTGCCATTGTGTGGCGCCTGGGGATCAGTGTGAGATTAAGGGACTTGCTCAGGGGCCCAGAGTGCAAGCTGTGGGGATAGAACCAGGTACACTGGAAAAACCATCTTGAAATAAGTAAAACTTTCTTAGATTAAGTGTATTTACCCTTAATTTTAGTAGGTAAATGAGGTATTTTGCCAATGGAATGAGTATTTTTACTCTTAAAATAAGATAATTAGATAATATGCACTTGAAATAAGACAATGTAATTGTGTTTTCATATTTTAAATGTAAATTGTCTTGTTCCATTGGCAAAATGTCTCTTTTACCTCCTCAAACCAAGAAGAAATGCACTTATTTTAAGAAAAAATGACTAAGATTTAAATTTTTTCCAGTGTGGAACCTTCTCAGAGCACAACCACTGCTCTAACCCTTAGGCCGACACTCCCCTCAACAATGATTATAAAACACCACCCCAATTCAGTTAATCACTTCCAGCCTTAGTGGTTTTTACATCCTTCGAAGGACAATGTCTGCGAGGCCGCGTCCTTCAAAGTATGCAGCTCCTAATTTTTACACAGCTCCAGAAAAAGGTTTAACCAGGACAATTTTTTCACTCTTTATTTATACATTATTAAAATAGATTCAAAAACCAATGCTACATATTCAAAATGAACATAAAAAAGTGACTGAATTTAGCATAGTGGCTTAGAGAAAGGATTAAAGCTAGGAATGTGTAATTGATAGCATTAAGAATACGTTAGCTATTTTAAACTTTACTGATGAATGTTTCTTTAAAGAACTTTTTTTCCCCTGCATTGTTAGCCATGTGTTGCCTATTCTAGCATTAGCCTGTTTTTTTTCTTTTTTTCCCTCCGCACTCTTAAAGATTCTGTCAACATGGAAAACGCTAAGAGGTAACTTCCCAGCTAATGTTAGCGGTTTGTTTTTAGAATTAACCCTCCATCACACCAGTTCAATTAGTTTTAGTTTGTAATATTAACTTCTTTCATTATTGTTAGCGTTTTATTTAGGTAATTGTTTTTTTTTTCTGTTAGCATGTCATTTCTCATAATGCTCTAATACATCATAAGCTAGTTTTGCTTTTTTTTT